TATTTTTAAGTTCACAGATGCATCTCCCTGGATCCTGTGTATTTTTCTTTGTTTTGCTAAGCATGTTCAAAAGTTTTTAGATGGCCAAGAGTTAGAGTAGTGAATCAAGTTGATTGCATGTCTTCAGAAATTGAGGGGTCTTTTCCGCTACTGTTTTGCCATTCTTTGGTTGCGCCACTGTTTGGCCATTCTTTGGTTGTGCGGATATTCAATATGTGACATCTGACCTGTCGCAGAAATTGGGGGGCCTAGGCCCTTCGTTTTCCGCGACTGTTTGGAATCATGACCTGCAAGTGTTTGAATTTTACCTATTCCTACCCCTTTCTTTTTCGTAAAAGACCCTCTACTGTGGCTGGCCAACGAGGATCGCAAAAGATCCAAGGGTATCACTGGAGCCGCAAGTTCTTAAAGATTAAGGCCGTCAAGTCGCAACAATAATCCAGCTGATTGATGTGTGCCCACCACTTGTATCGGAATTGGCTGAATCGGAATCGGAAAAGGGAGGTTTCCTCCTTCAATTTCAAACCAAGACGCTTTGGCCAAGCCCACCAAGCTGATTGTAGAATAAAATAGATTCAAAATACATTCCATGAGAAATCCAACTGAAAACCCGACCAGTCATCATGTCGACTCTCCAATCTGCAAACCTCCTTCACGGCTTGCAAAAAACTTCATGAAAAAATTTGGAGGGCGGCTGCGCTCCGTTTGCGATTCTTGCAGCGCCCAAACGTAGCTATATATTCCATATTGAGTTCGTGGAGTAGTTTAGCCACAGTTGGGGCGTCAGGAATCCTACTGCTGTGCTCCGAACCCCTCCATTCCCATGTTGTTGTTGTTGTTAGGAGTTTTGATACGACTGCTGCAAAACACCAGGAAAATGACTGGTCTGTCAGTCTCTCGGGCAGAAAAGTCGTAGAAAAAGTTGGAAAAAACGTCGAAAAAGGTGGAAAAACTTAATTTTTGGGAGATGACTAAGTCGATTGCACACAAAAGTTGATGTTGCAAAAAGCATGCAACTATCGGAAAAGAATGGAAGTCGAGGGCAATACAAACCGCAACAACATGGAAGAGATAGAATGAACTTAGGCCAGCAGAAATAAAACTGTAAACACTATTTTAAAATTTTGCTATGTTCTTTTCTTTTTCTTTGGTAGAAAGAAACAGTCGGTCAGGGTTGATTGTTCTCCTGCATTGATCTCCGCAGTTGTCATTCGTTCATGAAGATTCTTCTTTCGTTTGTCGTGTTTAGCTTCGAGTCTCTTCTTTCTTTCCAAATATGTTTCGCCAGGTTCATATACCTTGATGGGATTCTCTTCTCCAAAGTGGTCCACCCAATACATGTAGATAAGCCGGGGCTCCTTCTGTCTCATCTGTTTTGTCACTGGGATGTAGGTCCGCTCATGCCTGGCAAAGAATACACCCCATTCCTTATCATTCAACTTCAACTTCTTGGGTTTAAGTTTTACTTACAACGGTTGTTTGGAAAAAGTCGAGACAAGCGTCAAAGATGTGGACAAGCGTCGGAAAAGCGTCGGAAAAGCGGACAAGCGTCGGAAAAGCGTCGGAAAAAGCGGACAAGCGTCAGGACAAGCGTCAAAAAAAGCGGACAAGCGTCAAAAAAGCGGACAAGCGTCAAAAAATTCGGCACGGAACATGTAAAAAACGTGTAGAAAATCCAGTATGTACACACGTAACGTAAAGACCGACAAAATGCGTTATATATTATCTATACACGTATAAAAAACAAAGTACAGACGTACCGATTACTTAGGTATCGTGACAACCCGCGGTAGTCAGGAATCAGCCGCCAAAGGTTGGCTTCATTGCGAATCCACATCTGCATGTTCTTATACGTCCTGGCAGAAAGTGGTAGTATACGAAAGGTCTCTTCTGTGTTCCTGAACATGTCGGACAAGGTGTCCAAAATATGTTGCAGGATAATGGACACATGTGATTGGTTGCCATCCTGCTGACCTGAGTAATTGTAGACCATGCCCAACTCTTCCATTCCGTCCTGGTCGACATTGCGCAAATCATCCAGGCGCTCTTCCAGTGTCAAAGTTCGTTGGGATCTCCGTTTAGCTCCGGGAGCGTTCATTGTAGGCCTCAATTTTGCCGGCTCCTGTGTAGCAGGCTTAGTAAACCTTGTCGCCGGATGCAGCCGCTTTCCACTGGGTCGGGAACATATGCTCGGGTCCGTTCCATCCACGTCCATTTGGGTAGCTTGTTCATCAATTGACACCCGTTGAGAGCGTCCATTCTTTCTTGGCGGAGACGCTAATTCCGGGTCAGATTCATCACCTGTGTTTCCTGTCAATTCGGAGACTGTTTCATCAGTGATGGTGCGAGTCTCAGCGTGGTGACCTCTGCCGGATCGGCTGGCACCAAATTCATTGTCGGCCGAGTGCTTTCAACGATAATGACGGATTCCTCGGATGCCTCATCCTCATCATCATCATCAGCATCGTCGTCTGTCTTATTGTCAATTTCGCTGTTGTCATTGGCCTCATCTGAATCCCACCCGTCAGGTTGGGCGTACCTGTGAACCAAGCCATTATCTTCGTCACCGATTGGAGCATCTTCTTCCTCGGAATCTTCATACTCCGGATCGAAAATCTTTCTGACACCCTTGTGGATTTCAATTTTGTCAACCGCGTCGTTCGGAAAACCAGCGATGACTTTAGTCTTCATTTCCTGTATGCATCTTACAGGAGTCACCTCTAGAAATTCGTCAAACATCATAGTCCAAGGATGATCAAACATGGTAGCACAGATCAACCAAAATTGTACCAAAGGTGTCTCTTCTCATGAGCGAGGATTAGAATCGTCACGACAGAAGTACAAGTCATCCTGTTGAATTGCCGAATCACCCAAGAGACCGATATCAAAGAAGGAGAAAGGAATTTGTTGGGCGACCTGTAGGGCAATTGCTCTCACTCCCCAGATATATTCCGTGTTCTTGTCGTCATGTTGCCAGTCATTATCGTATTTGTCAAAAATCATATTGACTCAAACTTCGACCGAGAACTTAGCATAGAAGTCCTGGAAAGGGCTATCAAACCTGGGAAGGGCGGGCGTTGTGGTTGTCGATCCATTTTGTAAAATCGTGATTTCCAAACTCGATCTGAGTAGAGTTCTTGTCATAGCCGATAGCGACTAAATCTTGAGTGGAGAGCCCAAAGTCAATCAGTGGGCGCAATGTGACGATCACTTCTTGAGTTCTGGAATCGTTGGAGATCGTGGGATCTATGTCTCTTAGGTTGACGTAAATCAACAGAGGATGCATTTTCCAATCGTTTCTTTCCGCTCTTTTTGGAGGTAGAACCCGACTTAGATTTTGATCCGCCTGCCTTCTTAGCAGCCGTTGAAACAACCTTCAGAGATGTATACTTTCCCATTGTAAAACGGTGAAATGCCGTTGAATTGATGAAACTGCTGCAATTTCTACGTAGACTCTAGTACTTAGGCTACGAATACCGGTTTGGTGCTTTTTGTTTTCCCTTTTTCTTTTTCTATACTCAGCCTCCTGCAAATAATAGTGCCTACTCAGCCTCCTGCAAATAATAGTGCCAACGCTTTCATTCAGCAGCCAAACAGCGCCTTCAGCAACAATTTTCAGCGCCATCCTGCTACCAACACCTGCGTTCAACATCCGATTGTTGCAACCAACAAGAACCCATTGGCGGACTTGACTGCATTACAAGATACGGTCAAGCAGCTCCAGGAAACGCTTGCACGACAGCACCAAAAGGAGGCGTCTTCAGGAACAACAGAGGCAACAAGCGGAAGCAATGCGTCTTTGGCAGGATGCATCGGATAAAGCAACAGAAGAATCAAGACAAGCAGCCCTTTATGCTATCCAGCAGCAGAATGAATTGCGTCGTCAGCAGGAAGAATTGCTTCTTCAGCAGGAAGAACTGCATTGTCAGCAGGAGCAACAGAAGAAAGAATCAAATGATCGGGAAGAAGAATTGCTTTGTCAGCAGGCACAGCAAAAGCAAGAACAGGAGCACATGATTTACTCTTTTCATCAAAAGCAGCAGATCCAAGTTGATGCTTTGAGTACCGCTGTTGCTAAGAAGCCAGCTTCACGTCCTGATCAGAAAAGACTTGCTGACAATTCGGCCCAATGCTCAGTCTCCAATAGGTCTAAAAGAGCCAGGCAAACCGTTGTGTCTGGTGGAGATGATGACAACAAAAGCATGTTCTCTGATGCCTCACAGACCATGTTACCTGCCGTCCCAGATAATATTCAAGTTCACACCGTTCAGCAAACGACTTGAGTAAGTGACAAAAAGAAAATATCTGTTGACAGTGACAAATGGGAGGAAGGTTGCTGCCCGTTGTGACCTTTGAAAACGAAATTGACACTACTATACAGTGGTTTGATGTATACATAGTTGGAATAAATTGTCTTTAGAAAAGTATTTATATGTGATTTATGATTGTTAGAGGTGTATTCCGATGATGAGTGCTCCCCATCAGCATTGCATGTCAATAAGTTGAATAGAATTTAATTGTAAGTCACATCATATTCGCAAGAATTTTGATGTCCTCCAAAGTTGTGCTGCATCTGGCAGATGACAGCAACAGCTTCAAAGCAGGCTTGATGTTTTGCCTTGGGATTGTGGCGAAAGACTTGATCAAGAACTGCAAATTTCTTCAGCTCTCCATTCACATTTTTGTGTTGGGCCCTTGCCCTACTCTTTTGCATGCCGTCCTTTTTACTCTGTGAAATCTTTGGGTTTTTTTGCGTTTCTTAGTGCCAAAAAGGCACTTCGAATGCTTCAAAGTGCCAAAAAATATTCAAATTCCATTATTTTATTTATGTTGTGTAGGTAAAAACCCTCCGTTTAACGGCAGTACTTGTACAAATCTTCACCCCACCATTTCTCCCTACAAATTGGTGATCCCAAATATCTGCACCCAATTTCCATTTTTCGCTTGGAGAACGACATAATTTTTGCAAACATCACAAACAGCAGATGTTTTTCCTTGCAAACCACTTCAACAATAGACGACAGCACGTACACATATCAACGATACAATGAATATGAGATGTGACTGAGGTAATTATACATTGCTGTGGCTATTGCCATTCCCTTAATGCTACTTGTCTGCAATTTTCTTTTCTTCGACGATGAACCTGAGTTTTGCGTCCCATTCCTTGTCCTCTACTCTGTGTTTTCTCCTTTTTTCTTGCCCTCCATACCTCCTGAAGATTCAGAATACAAATCGTCCACGCCGTTCGAACATTGACTGTCCCCACTGCCCTGCCATTGCCAAACGATTCCCAAACCACCGTCGCTGCTGCTATGTTGCTGTCTATTCATTTCACTCCGGGTTACCAACATAAAGCATCGACACGTAGACTCCACGAGGTTCCGTCACGTAGGAAAACGGATTATTGATGATTTAGCGCAAAAAGCTACCTTGCCAAAGTATGTAGAGTCTACGCTGATCGTAATCATTTATCACTTAAGAACACAATTGGAGTAGACAATATATATTCATATATAGGGCGGAGAATTCCTATTTATTAACAATAAAATAAGTCGTGATTCTGCTGTATCCATTATATAATTTTTAATATTGCAAATGAATATCCATATATACAAAAATTGATCCAGTGTCCCAGCAATCAGAAACCGCGGGGCCAAAAACGAATGCAAAATACACACATCAACTCAGCATCACAAGGAAGAACAGCAGGCATGAACCCTAAAAGAAAGCTTCCATCTATTCGAGCTTCAATGGGGCATCCTCCAGCAAGAAAGAAAGCTCGTACAGAACTAGCTGTAATTAATCTTTGCGAAGAATATGATGTAACTGAAAATGAGAAACGTATATTTGAAAAGGCTAAGGCCAATCAACTTGTTTCTGCACTTATTGGTGTTGCTGCTCTTACAGCCCAACGCAAAAACGGCAATTATAACTATAGTGGAGACACTGTAATTTTCACCCTGTCTCTTTGCCATGTTGCTGGGACAGACACACGTCCCCATTCACTGTTCAATGATATGCTGATGGGATACAATTTCAAATTTCCAGGGAATTGCACCTTTGGTTTTACATTGGAAATACCCGACAAGAGGCGATTGGATGTAATGATTACAAAATTGCTCCAGTACCAAGTGGCAGTCAATAGGAAAAAAAACCGAGTCTATCGCACCATTGACGGGCTCCTCCAGCCAAACACAATATCCAAAAAATCAACAACAAAGGCACTGAAGCAGTCCGCTTGGGAGAGATTGATACTGATCTCAACAATTTACCATGCCCTCCAATATGCAATTGACGTTCACCGGGAACAGAGCAAAATCAAAGACTCAAATATCTGTTACTTTGCCTTTCGGATGACTATTGACTGCAAGACCAACATAGAGTTGTTCCGAAAAGCGAGACACTTTCTCCTATGTCTGGGTCCAAAGAAAGACGAGTGTCATCCTAAGTTGACCGCCATTCTTGACAATCTTTCTTTTGAACCGCAAGACACTTCGGGTCCAAAGCAATTCTCCTTTCTGCTAAGTGATAGGGGACTTGGTAAACAGCTACAGCTCGAAGAATACAAGAAGGTTTTGACCCATTTCCGTTTTTTTAATGACATTGCTGTGAATTGGCCCGGGATGAAGAAACGGCCCCTTTTGTTTACCAAAAAGAATATATGGAACAACAACAAACAAAAGTCAACATGGCTTACTCAATGGTTAGCTACCGTATCTGTTGGTCTATACATGTCCTACTTCGAGCACAAGAGTCTTTCAGACTCCCGCAGGTTGAAGAACAGCATCATTCATGGACTTTTCCCACCCAAAGAGGACCCAGCGCATCACTGCAACAGTATCATCCACTGCTCTAGAGGATAAGGTCACCCAGAAACAGGGCACCAAGAACAAGTCTCTAGCGGCACCAGAATCTCGAGACAACAAACACGCAGCAAAAAACAATGGAGAAGAATCAGGTTTGAAACAAGAGCCGCCATTGCATGCTGCGGACTGGAGAATTGTAACAGAAAAACAATGGACACTCTATCAAGACCGCTATCTTGCAACAACCACAAGGACAAGGAACCTCAGATTGGAACTGGCTTATGCTGAAGTATACTCTGGCTCATCCTTTTGTGTTTGGGAACACATAAGAGTTGTGACGTGTGCAAATATGAAGAATGATGGTACAGAAGGAATGATGGACCGGACAAAGCCCCTAACCATATTTTTCTCTGAGGTACCACAGCAGATAGACCATCTGGATGAGCTCCACTATTGCCGTCCGGAATCCGAGGTCTGGAATGCGGTTGGCAACTTCCCGGTCGTTTGGAACGCGGTTGGCAACTTCCCGGTTTGGAAGACTATGTTACCAAATGGTGCTTGTACTTCCCAATTAAACCTGTCCCTTCTAGTGAACACGACCATGTGCATCCACAAGATCCAATTGGCAGCCCGGAGGACCCAAAGCAAATCCACCACTTCACTTCATTTGATGAAAAGATGATTCAAATACCGTTTGGTTTCTCCAGCTATGGACATCCATGTGGCTTTACTCTACTGGAAAGGTGCCAGAATCTTAAGCAGTCGGAGAAGGATCAGTACCTATACATGCTTGGTATTGTCTCAGACTTCGTCTTTCAGACCATGCAACAGTTCCAGGCCCAGGCGAACCTCCCCGCACTTTGTCCGGATAAAGTCCGTGATTCCATTTACGCAAGACGTGTTCGCAAGTGGTTGAAGCTCCCGTACAAATCTGAGATGGGAGCAGAAATAGCTTTAGCCGTGCTTGTACCTCTTGGCCCAAAGCCAAATGACATTCCAAGAAACAAAAAGCACATTGACAAAAGCAACCCTGATGACCCTCTTTATGGTAAGACTGGTTGCTACTCCCAGGTGGTTACCGCTAATGGCAAGGACATGTACCTATTTCAGGTGATAATAGCATGGCGGAAATGGATCTCCAACAAATGTCCGCACAAACACAACCTACTGTTACTCTCCCAGAAAGAATATGAATGTGACAAATTCAATGTATACAAGGAAACTGAAGAGGACGGCAAGGTTGCCGAAGACAGGTGTGGCCAGGAAGACAGCAACAATGATGTCAACAAAAGCAGCAACGACAATGGTAGCAGTGAAGATGAAGACGACAGTGGCAGTGAAGATGAAGATAGTAGCAGTGAAGATGAAGAATATAGCAGCAGCTGCATGCGCAATGAAAAAAGTGATGAAGATGAAGTCCCATATCAAACATTTACTGGGACTGAGATACTCTCCTCCATTGTTCAAGGGACTCAAGGAGAAAGCACAGGAAGTGTTCACTCTTCACCAACCCAAATGATCTTTGAGAAGTTGGTTCTGGGTGGAATCACCAACTTTGTGTGCAAAAAATGCCAAGTTTCGCGCGAAGCGCAAAGTTTCATGAAAGTTGAAAGGGGTTTGGGGCGAAGCCCCATACCTTTTCTACCGAGGAGAACCAACTTTCATGAAACCTCTCGTGATGGATTGGCGGTTGATGCCAGACCGGCTACCTAATATTTCAACTTGCACACAAACTGAGCCTTCGTCATTGGACGCAACTAGGCTACAACAGTGCATTTGTGACCTTGTCCATGACATCTAAAGCCATTGCCAAGGGTCCAAGACTAGGACAATCAAAGTCAAACTATGGGGTGAACAATGCATCAAGATGATTGTTTTCCACATACAGGAAGATGAACGGACTTGACCCTGATAGATTTGGCGACAACGAAATTGCAAATGAAAACTTGCAACACTATTTTAATGGTATTTGCCATTTCTTTTGCGCAACTCTCATCCCAACCCACCGGAAGTATGATGAGAACTTTAAGCCAACAGATCCCAATTGGAAAGAGTTCCTAAAGACAGGTTCCTTGAAACAGTATATTGGCCAACACTTTTTGGATTGCCGCCTCCAGCATAAGAATCATCCTCATTTTATTGATAGGGCTGATGACTGGTTTCCTGAATGGTACACAAAGCTTGTGGCTGGTTTTGAGACCGAGTGTGCTAGGTTTCAATTAAAAAATGGCCCGGAAAGCAATGGTCTTGGAACAACAGATACCATGCCATTGTATCCAGAAACACGGACTAGCTGCAATGATGGCAAAGAAATTGCTGACTATATATCAGCAATCAGTTTGACATCTATCTTGAAAAATATCCTTAAGAGTGGGCATTCTTCAGGTATAAGTGCTGAACTTGGCCCACATCAAAAGCGTGCATTGGTTCTTATGACTTGGTCAGCGGTTGGAAGGGGGGGTGAGGTCAAGTTTCAGAGCTTCAACGAGTGGAACTTTGATACTGGATATGAGGTGTTAGATATTAAATGGACAGAGATAAAAACGCTCAAGAAGTACTCTCTCCTTATGGTTCCAGACACACGATGGCTATTTGACTTCTATCATTGCATTGGCTGCTATTTTGCAATTGAGAATGGACTCTACCGAAGTGAAATTGCAAAAAAGAAAGGACACTTGAATGTTATGTTTCCTGTTCTATATAGCATCATGGACTCCCAAGTGGCAAAAAAGATTGGTCAAATCCTTAAAAATCATCTGCCAAAAGGAACTCCCAAAGAAGTAAAGAACAAAATCTCTGTAAAGTCACTTCGCTGTGGTGGCATCACTTTGCTTTCAAGACACCATGAGATATCAGACCCAAGACTCTGCAGCCGGTCAGGACATTCTAGCGGGAGAAACAGTGATAGCTACTTGGACAGCAGCGACCTTCTGCTAAGGCTCCCTGGAGCTATGGCAATGCATGGATACAAGTCTTTGGATTCCAAGATATCGGTGTACTCACTCAAGATGCTCCCAATGGATGCAGTTAAACGGTTCATTGATGAAATTTTCCATATCTCAGTTCCAGCTTTTCAGCCAAAAGGAAAACTGTATGTAGTGACACGCATTTGTGCTGCTTCCCTGATAGCTCACCATAGGCAAGTCACAGCAGATCTTGGAGCAGGAAACACTATCTCTAAGTTCCTCTTGGCGGCTGCTCGAAAAGCCAAGATAGCAGATGCAAGGTACCCCAATATCAATCCAGAGTTACTACTAGAGAAGTGGTCGGAAGAAGTATTGGAAAGCTATGTAGAGTCCAATGTGGATTTCACAAAATCCTCTCCTTGTGCTGTTGGTACTGCACACGCACTGGATGAGGTGAAGACTATGTTCCTGGAGGGAGAATTGAAGCAAACGCGAATAGACAACGCACGGAAGACGGCTGAAAACTCAGTTCTGTCAGAGCGACTTGGTCATCTTGAGACGCAGCTAAGAGCCTCTCATATAGAGCATCTAAAAACTCAGAAGAAGCTAGCATTCATCAAGACGCCTGATCATGATATTGCTGATAAGAAGAGGAAAAATGAAGACTTTGAAATACTAGATTCTTGTGCACCATCCTCGCCAAAGAGACTACATTTTTCAGACATGAGCATGGATGTTTTGGCAGCATTCACTAGTCCATCACACACACACCCTCTTGCACTACCAACAACACCACAACAAACAGCCAAGAGATCTATCACAACATCTATCTCTAGTGGGAAGAAACTTGGAGATGCAGGAGTGACAGTTAGGGTTAGATAAGAAACTTGGAGATGCAGGAGTGACATTGGCAACTTGTATCGTGACCCTTCATCAAAACAATCGTTTACTTGTTGACAAAATGTGGAATTCTAGTGGTATCAAGGACTATTTCAAGTATCCTTCCGATTGCAAGTACAGCCTAAATCTGGCCGACTATGTCATTACTCAGCAGCAGAAGGCAGTATTGAAGAGTTCCACCGCCACTCTTCAACAAGTGATGGACACAGCAGACGATATTGGATTTGAAGCATTCAAAATGCTCTATGAGTTAGAAGGCATAGACCCCAATGTTGCAATGAAAGACAATTCAGGTCGAGCAAAGAAGAACTATGTTGGAATGGGGAAAAGAGTTCGAGCCTACAAGAAGTATATGGCAAGCAAGATGATGTCTGATGCCCCAGGACCAAAAGGAAATGATCTCTTGGAACTAGCGATTGTTCCTCGAGGCACAATTGCTAGTAGAGCTCAAGTAGTTCCAGACCCTCCTGCTGCTGGAACTGGACGTTTTGCTCCAATCTCAGCATACTTTAGCCGTACTAATGACAAGTAACCAAATGCCATGCTACATTTCTTCCCTTCTGGTTTCCAATAGTACTCAGATTCCAATTCCTCTTACTAGAAAACAGTGCAGTGGCAAGATTGTAAATCCCACCCCGCTTCTGCTTTCCTCATTCCTCTCATTAGAAAACAGTGCAGTGGCAAGACATAAAATCCCGCCCCGCTTCTGCCTTCTTCAAGGAATGCAGCATTTGTAGGATGATGGAGAAGTGAGCTTTCAGAAGGCGAAGTGTCCATGGCAATTTGGATTATGTGCTAAGTGTGTTGCAAAAAAGCATTTGTTGTGTTGTTTGTTGTGTGTTGTGTGTTTTGTACGATGTCCACTACAGTGTGATTTTGTTGTTTTGTGTTGTTTTGTGTTGTTGTGCGTTGTTTTGTGTTGTTCTGTGTTATTGTGTGGACAATGTATGACGTGGGAATTTTTTCGTGGTCTGTGCACTCTTCACCGTCTGCCCCCCCCTGTCGTTGCACGTACGACGGTCATGCCAACTTTCACGAAAGTTCCCAACTTTCACGGATCCGAAATTACAAAAGTTCGCCGTTTACACCCAAAAATGTCCCTCTGGACCTATTTGTTCCACTTGTCCAACATTACCAATCTAAGCTTTTCCGTGACGAATTCACGTTTGGTTGTACTGCCATTCGTCACTATGACACGGTATGTGGAAAATATAGGGAAAGAGCGCTCCCACATGCGTAATACATGATGACACAACAGAATCATCCAGATCTTACTGAGCCTGAGATTGATTTCATTGACGCCATGTACGAGGGGCTCAGAATGCATCATTCCAACTTTGAAGTCAACAGTTGTGACTGCGGCCTTATACGAACTGTGAATGGCATGTATCACCAGCCATCCCATGTTGATCATATAATGTTTGTGAAACAGGGAAAGGAAGGACGGGGCCAGGCTTTCATCGGACACATGGGCATCCAATGTCCGAAGACAAAGAGGAAGTGCACAGAATTGCCAAGTCTCAGAAAAATGTAACCTAAATGAAAGTAGGAGCTAGACAAACCAAACCATAAAACAACTAATAGTTTTCACTATAAATGCTCAACTTGACCAACACTCTGACCAAGAGTCATTGGTTGTTCATCTGGATTGGATGAGTTTTGTTGACGGTTGCCAGCTGGCCTATAACCACCAGTTGGAACAGCTCTCCTACTTTTGAAACCATGGGAGACCATCCAGGCATCTTTTGAGTGATATAGCTGGCATTTTCGGGATGTGGCTAGAGCTATTCTTGCATTTTTGCGATGAGAAGTCCTTGAATGGTCTTCTCCCCAGAGACCTTTAGGAATATAAAACTGATGGGCTTTCTCCCAGCATGTAAGATTCCTATTTGGACAGAGCCAATCCAACTCCTCAGGTTCGCTTTTTTGTATTTCGTCCCTCCGTTTGCTGGCTTCAGCTGGCACCTTAGTGTAGTCAATTGATGGAATCTCCATGCATGCCCTGACATAATGGGATTGACCAAAAAAAACATGCTTTGCTTTTTGGTACTGGCGTTCCCAATTACAAACATGACAACTCTTTCCCTTTTGAGATATTTTTGATTTGCCTTTCCCTCCCCTGGTTGTGGGTTGACTACCAGATGGGATGAATTTACAAGTAATGGTACCAGCCACTAGGTTTGTTGCATCCGCGTCCGCACTATCCGCAGTGTCAAAGGCACCACCTAACTTGTGCATGATCTCTTCTTGAGAAGCACTTTCATACATTCTCCATTCCGTGTCCTCTAGTTGTTGGCATAGTAGATCTCTGAAATCATAACGGTGACACTTTTCTTTTCTTTCCCTTGGGTGCACCATGAAGTAGTGCAGCTCGGCGTTTGTGAGACCAAAATCAAACAGTGCCATGGCCATCTTCTTGTACCATTTTTTGAAATGGTGACGTTGAGCAAGGGAAAAGAGAGAGACCCATTGGTCAAACCGGTCAACGGCCTGCATGCCATGATTGTATCGTTGAATAGCAGCTGGAGCTGGGAAGGTATTTCGTTTTGAACCTACCAAACGCTTCACTGATCCCATCTCATTTCCATCTGCACTTGTGATGAAGTGCACCGGATTACCATCGGTCCAACCAAATGCAACCAGACTATGCTTCTGGTTGGTGGCAATCTTTGCAGAACCCCTTGGCAGATCTTTGCACTCTTGGTTATTGAACGTCACGGCCTGGGGATACATCTTCCTGTTCTTGCGACATGTACCCCTTGCATAAATATTCTTCTTCTTCAGGGCAATGAGAACCTGGGGCGAGGTATAATAGTTGTCCATGTTAACAACCTTGCCGCTGCCATCAAGCACATCACAAATATCAAGCACTAACTGGCTAGTTTTTGTTAGTGACTTGGTCCAAGCAGTGTCCTGAAACAACCCAGTATCACTGTCACTGTCATTTTCTGAATCTGATGAATACATCTCCTCAAAATCACTACCAGTTTCTTCCACAGTGGGGTCCACAAATCCATCGGCCTTGTCACAGCCTGACTTAGTATGAACAATAAGTCGAATGCAATTGTAGTGATCAGCTTCGCAAAGGCAATAGAAACGAAAATGATATTTTCCCGTTGGCTTTGACGGATTGTACACAATCATGGCCCTTCCATATTTTGACCTGCATGCAACGGAGCCTTCATCTAAAGATAAATCAGTGCCAACTTTGATGTACCTGCCAAGAGTTTCCTTCAAGGTGGTCAGTAATGGCCGCACCTTGTAGACCTGGTCATTGGATTGTGCCTCGGCTTCCCCTTTGACACTGAAATACATAGCAGACCTTAGCAGCTTGAATCGGCCAAGAGGCATGTAGGACTTTCTGGTAGGTCCGTTGGCTGCCATTTTTCATAGAGCTTCCTCTCGCCAAATTCCTTTTCCCATAGGGCATACTCATTGGTCCTCTTTACCACTAGCCTCCAAAACTCAATTGGGAAAAAAGCAAGGAAAGAAGAAAGGGGAGAAGAGAAGTGGGCTTTGAATTTCCCGGGAATGTAGGACTTCTTGTTGGATGCAAGGTTTGTTGGAGAGGGTACGTCAGTGGTAACCTCCCCATTGAGGCCTACGTCCCACTTGATTCCTGACATCCATTCTGTGTTGGATGGTTCATATTGCCGGAGTGAGGGGAAGTTGAGATTGAGCTGCAGGTCTGTAGAAATGTAATCTCTGGTCCTCACTTCTTGTTCTTCTCCTTCTTCTTCCTCGTCAGTGTCACACTCACAGTCACTGAGAATAGATTCGCCCTGGTTTTCCTGACTCTTTAATGGTGTGTTGAGAGCTTGCTCTAGAGAAGAAGAGAGGGGGAACACATTAGTTTGTTGTGCACCAGCAGGACCTTCTTGTAACAACTTCCGCAGATCCATTGCTTTGTACAAAGCATATGCTTGCATTTCTGTCTGAGCAATGTTGGTATGTGAGAACTCAATTTTATACTTGCCCTCTTTCCGGTTTGTGCACTGGATCACATTTCCAAAAAGGTAGAGCCTACCATTGACTTGTTTCAGGTAGGACCGGGGAATCTCAGGCAACTCTTTTATCCAGTTCTCATGTTCCTCAATCCGAAAGGCAAGTGGTGTACAGTTTGGGATGATGGGTGCCGCTTCCTTCATCTTGACAACTTTTATCTTGGATAATGTCTTCTTGCTAGCTATGGTTTTTGCCACTGTGGCATTTGTCGTGGGTGGAGCCTTCTTGCAAGCAGCTGTTTTTTTTGCTTTCTCGGATGATGTCTTCTTCTTGTTAGCTGCCAAAGTCACAGCTGTGTTATTTGCCTTTGATGGTGTCTTCTGGCTAGCGGCTGTCAAAATCCCACAATTTGCACTACCTGTAGCTTTCTTTGCAACGGCAGGCAATTGCTTAGCTGCGGCTTTCTTTTTCTTGGTGATGGCATTGGATTGACTTTTGTGTTCAGGCCTTGCTGCCAGCTTACTATTCAAACACTGGTGACAAATACCTGGGTATTTCAGATGGTTCCTAGGGTCATCTGAATCGCATGCCTTTCCACAAAAATCAGGATTGTGCATAGGAATATCACATGTCCTACAGTGATGCTGAGGATCAACTGGAAGATGAGGCAACTGGCATAGATCGCCAGCTGCACATTGAATGCTGGGGGTTGCATTGATTCTAGTGGACAGTTGGTGGGGGGCTGGTTGTTCTTCCCCGCTAGTTTCTGAATCTTCCTGTTCCGCTATGTCAGCCGGTTGTGTTGAAACAGCCTTCTTCTTAGTAACTGGCTTCTTCTTGGCTGGCACAGTCTTCTTTCCAATTGGAGCGCTTGCATCCTCCATACTTTTATCTCTGTCTTTCTCTGTTTCCAATGCTGTGGTTGGTACTCTTTGAGTTTTTCTTTTTTTGTAGCTTGTTCTAATGGTATCTCATCATTGCTGCTTGAGTCTTTCCTTTTTCTTGATCTTTTCCGGATGGAGCGGCCACCGTCAGAAGGACCTTCATGGCATTCGAAGCACCAGTAGACTTGGTTGGTTGCATCGACAAGAACACCACAGGTTCTATGTTTGGGCCGTTTGCATTTCGGACAATGATCATCTTGAAGGTAGTCTGCACTGTTCGAGCATGCAACTAAGCCGCAAGCGCAGAGACCAAGTCTCCTCATCCGCTGGATTTCCTTCAGCTGGTTCTGGTCAAGCATGGCGGTTGGTTGGTAGGCTTTTTGCCTACTATTGCTGGCTATTGGATGGTCCAATGTTGGGTTTTGGGGGTGGGTTATGGCGCACCTTTGGTTGGTGAGAAGCCATGGAGCTAAAAAAAAAAAGGATATATATATATCATGAATACCATATAAATTTCGTGCGCACATTGGGTGGTTTTTTACAAGTGCCTTTTAGGCACTTTTAATGAAAAAAACGAGCCGGTCCGTCATATGGCCAAAACTCATTCGAAGTGCCTTTTTGGCACTTCGAATGGTGCATATTTTCAAAAAATATTGGTCCGCGTATGTAGAATGTACCGTGGTTCGAAGTGCCAAAAAGGCACTTTTCGCAAAAGGGTTAACTGGTCGAGGCCTTGATATCCCATATCCACCTCCACGCCCTCATCCTCACACAAAGCTTGCATGAGACCATCATGTTCAAAAATTGTCTTGTCATTACAGCCTGCCATGAAAGGACCATTTACCCAGACTATAGCTCCGGTTGCAATACAGATACCGATTTCATACTTATAGCCTGGTCCATTCAACTTCTTGGAGAAGATTGCTTCATCAAATGGCCAAATCTCTTGGATAGGACAGTCAACACCGTCAACAGAGATGACACAGTGCGTCTTTCCATCCCAGCCATCAAACCGTTTCAGCCAAACAATCTAATAATAATAATAATAATAACTGAAACATTAATCGATTAAATGCTCGGTAGCGCATACGATTGCCGCCAAACAATCTAAATACATGCAAGATAAAGCTTAGGAAGACAAAGTTACAAATGCAGTCACAACATCACATAGGCTTCTTCTTACCACGTCGTCAAAGAGTCTTGCAATTTCTGGAATGAAGATCCATACCCATTTTTGAAATGTTTTTGGGTCCACAAAACCAACAATCCGAATCATACCGGTTCGGTACAGTAGTTCTTCAAAAAGCAAAGGGTCCAAAACAGGTGATTGGGATGGGCTCCTTGTGGAATCTGGTCGTTTTCCAGTGGACTGATCATGTTCCAAAGCTCGGCAGCCACTTCGTATGTGGTGCCAATCAGAGACTCACAGATTTCTTTGTCAAGACAAGCATCTGTTTTGTTCTTGTTGGCATTGGGATTACCAAAAAGATCCGGTGCAAGTCTGCCACAAAGATCGGTTGACACGTGTGGGAATAGCATGATGCTTCTCGAGGTGATAACAGTTACAGTATTATATTTTATACAGGCTTGGGTCATTGTCGCAGAGTGACATCAATCAGACAGCACGGCGGGACCACCCAAAGTTTGCAATTGCTTGCACAGATCCCGCATCATCCATTGATTTTGCAAGCGGCTATACCGTATCTTGCCAAGTGACTAAACAACAAACGCCGACAATAAGATCGTGATGTGGGGTGGAGCTCATAATGTTGAAAAGTTTCCACAATATGCCAGCTACCATCAAAGCCCATTGTGCAAGTCGTGTGATTATCAAAAAGGACAACAAGAAGGTGACAAAGATTCTCAAGCTGTAGTCAAGAGCCACGTGTTTGTCACAGAAATGGCAAAGATACTTGCAGCCAAACAACAAAAAGTTCCTATCAAGGACAATGTGGTTGTCAAAAATTCCAAGCATGCCAAGAGGATGGCTGCATTCCACCGCAAACAAGAAGAAGATGCTCAGCAAACCATGCCCATGGCAAACAATGTTGCATTTGTTGGACCTACCAAAGCTGAAGTGAATGAGTGGTTTCTCGACAAAAATAAGAAATAAGAGGAAGCTGAATATATTCATCAAGCCTTCAAGGCATGGCACAAGTTCACAAGTTCTCCCCTGACGAAGCCCCCCCCCCCCATGTGTCGGGCCCTTGCCCTACTCTTTTGCATGCCGTCCTTTTTACGATCTTTGGGTTTTTTAACTGGTCGAGGCCTTGATATCCCATATCCACCTCCACGCCCTCATCCTTGCATGAGACCATCATGTTCAAAAATTGTCTTGTCATTACGGCCTGCCTTGAAAGGACCATTTACCCAGACTATAGCTCCGGTTGCAATACAGATACCGATTTCATACTTATAGCCTGGTCCATTCAACTTCTTGGAGAAGATTGCTTCATCAAACGGCCAAATCTCTTGGATAGGACAGTCAACACCGTCAACAGAGATGACACAGTGCGTCTTTCCATCCCAGCCATCAAACCGTTTCAGCCAAACAATCTAATAATAATAATAATAATAACTGAAACATTAATCGATTAAATGCTCGGTAGCGCATACGATTGCCGCCAAACAATCTAAATACATGCAAGATAAAGCTTAGGAAGACAAAGTTACAAATGCAGTCACAACATCACATAGGCTTCTTCTTACCACGTCGTCAAAGAGTCTTGCAATTTCTGGAATGAAGATCCATACCCATTTTTGAAATGTTTTTGGGTCCACAAAACCAACAATCCGAATCATACCGGTTCGGTACAGTAGTTCTTCAAAAAGCAAAGGGTCCAAAACAGGTGATTGGGATGGGCTCCTTGTGGAATCTGGTCGTTTTCCAGTGGACTGATCATGTTCCAAAGCTCGGCAGCCACTTCGTATGTGGTGCCAATCAGAGACTCACAGATTTCTTTGTCAAGACAAGCATCTGTTTTGTTCTTATTGGCATTGGGATTACCAAAAAGATCCTGTGCAAGTCTGCCACAAAGATCGGTTGACATGTGTGGGAATAGCATGATGCTTCTCGATGTGATAACAGTTACAGTATTATATTTTATACAGGCTTGGGTCATTGTCGCAGAGTGACATCAAACAGACAGCATGGCGGGACCACCCAAAGTTTGCAATTGCTTGCACAGATCCGGCATCATCCATTGATTTTGCAAGCGGCTATACCGTATCTTGCCAAGTGACTAAACAACAAACGCCGACAATAAGATCGTGATGTGGGGTGGAGCTCATAATGTTGAAAAGTTTCCACAATATGCCAGCTACCATCAAAGCCCATTGTGCAAGTCGTGTGATTATCAAAAAGGACAACAAGAAGGTGACAAAGATTCTCAAGCTGTAGTCAAGAGCCACGTGTTTGTCACAGAAATGGCAAAGATACTTGCAGCCAAACAACAAAAAGTTCCTATCAAGGACAATGTGGTTGTCAAAAATTCCAAGCATGCCAAGAGGATGGCTGCATTCCACCGCAAACAAGAAGAAGATGCTCAGCAAACCATGCCCATGGCAAACAATATTGCATTTGTTGGACCTACCAAAGCTGAAGTGAATGAGTGGTTTCACGACAAAAAAGAGAAACAAGAGGAAGCTGAATATATTTATCAAGCGTTCAAGGCATGGCACAAGTTCTCCCCTGACGAAGCCCCCCCCCCTGAATGCTTTTATGTGTCAATATCTAATGGGTATTTCTTTTCGAAATTTGCAGTTTCAGGTAACAATTGAACCACATTTGATAAGAAAACTACCATAATCTTTAAGGTACATTTTAGATTTTAGATCTGGTGCTGTGCTGGCCGCTTTATAAATTCCATGCTTCCTACTAAGCAGTCTTTTGAGTCTGCTGTTAGCATTGAAGCATCTAGTTCCAAAGGACGACATAACACCTCCTCCTCAGCGTCCGAATCATCTGGATCATTGGTGGAACCACTTGTTGGAGCAAGAATAGCCTCAACTGTGATATCCTTCTTGCCACTCTGCTGTAATAATTCTTTGCAGACGAAGAACAGACATATGCGCCTGAAATGGTACGGGTGACAGACGGACCGTGCAATTTGTGTCTCCTCAAAATTTGTCTCTTAAGGGGTGTTTCTCTTAAAAAAACTCTCAACAGGGACACGCCTCGGATTGTAGTGAAACCAAAGTGTGACGGGAGACAGACAGACCCCCCCCCCCTCAGAACGGAGGCATCGAATTCAAGCTCCACTTTGTTCCATCGAATTCCTCCATCATTTACGGGTACATCGAATTATTTAGGGGGCAAAACATTGTTTTATTTCTCCGAAACAGTGGAGCTATAATTAACGACAAGTCTTTTGTTGTAAATTTTGTTGTAAATTTTGTAAATTTTGTCGTAAAATATTTACGACAACTTACGACAACTTAGGACAAGCTACCACAAATTACGACAAACCTACAACAAATTACGACAACACTACGACAAAAATTACGACAAAATCTACAACAAAATCTACCATTGCACGTATGCCGACCCTTCGTTTCAACATTAACGATGACCGAGAGAATTTCAAATACTTTCATGTTGAAAACACCAACAACTCTGTTTCATTGTCAACACACATACCCAGCACGACGGAGGAAAAATACCATGCAACAATCATCATGAGATAAAAGTTGGTAGATTTACACACTCTCAAAGGCAAGATGATCCAGATTTTTGCTGGAAAATATGCTGGCCATGAAGCATGGATGGATAATTAGGGTTAGGGTATGTCAACAAAGGAACAGATACAGCATCTGTCATTGTCCGTCTCCGTAAAGGAAAGGGACTTGTGCAATCAACCATCTGGAAGAGCTCTTTTCAAGGGAAGGACTTTCAAATCCTTGATGCAACTTATCATCATGATCTGAAGAACCTCGTGTTTGCAGTTGCTGTGCTTGTTCAGTATGCTATGGATCATGGACATCCAATTTTCCCCGCAAATACTGGTGATCATTACCCAGATTTGGATGTTTAATTAAATTGGGATATATCAAACAAATTAGACTTGAACTATAGTATTTTAAAATATTTGATATTGCAGGCCTCACTTGAAAAGGCAACACTGTGGCTCATTTTGATTGATTTGTTTCACGTCATGCTTGCGCGCGAGCCAAGAATTCTCTCTACTTTTTTAGTTCTGTTGTAAATTTTGTCGTAAATTTTGTCATAAATTTTGTCGTAACAGCTCAGTTGATGGTGAGAATTTACGACAAAAATTACAACAAACTACGACAAAAATTACGACAAAGTTTTGTCGTTGATCAATCACAAAATGTTTTCGGAGAAATAAACTATAAATGTTACTTTTTGACTCTAAAATAGTTAGGATCCCCTTAAATGATGGGATTTCGAAGGAATTGTTGAGCTAGAATTTGGTAACCCCATGCTGCAGGGGTGCAAAAATTCTTCCCACGTCCCATCCGAAATGGGTTTCACACCAGTCCGAGGGGTATCCCAGGGTACTCTTACTGTAGTAGGTACTCGTACGGTACAAAAGTGGAGCAGTGGGATTCTCCTACATTGCCCCCTTTTCATTTTGGCTTTGCAGTCCCCCCCCTAAAGATACAGTAGTATAACAGTCTCCAGCGGGACAGGCGGTAGTCCTTTTCCATGTGACGTCACAGTACCGCCGCAACGCGCGGCCACGACGTTCTCCAGCAAAGAACACGTCTGTCCGCTGGCACCCACCTCCTCTGTCCTGTTTGACTGCAATACATGGTGTGTAATGTTTCCCCTGTTGTACCGGAGATTTTTCCTCACTCAATTTTGTACACAAAAAAATAGCATTCAAAAAGGGCTGCCAAAATGGCTCAAAATGACAGAAGATGACCCAGTAGAATGCTACCAGGTCACCAGTACCCCCACTTCTCAGCCTAACGGGATTCCTGGATTAACAAGTCCTGGATCAACTTAATTCACACATCGTCTCCACCGCAGATGACAGCACTTGCCACCAGCATCGTCCTGATTTCATCATGACTGTCATCTACTGCTGACGTTGCCTCCATACCGAGGAACCACAACAACAACAGCCAACAAGAAGGGCTCCAAAATAGGAAAGAGTTGTTCTTGGTCTACTATCCCCATGTCCAGCAGGCCCACATCCGAAAGCGAAGATGGCAGAATGGATGGAAGTGCCATGGGAGACGTGAATATCAATGGATCTCACCAAGAAGAGCAAGACAACGGGGACAAAGAAGATCATGTCCAGAGGAACAAACAAGACGATGCTGAAGCAGACTACAAGTTTGGCCCTATATTGTCCATAGGAAAGGCCAAACACTCCACTAGGATGCAAACAAAATCAGCTCTTGCCCATTTTTCCATATTCTTGGCTGGGTATTGGGATCGTCTCAGCTCTCTCAAAGACTACTCGTCCCAAGACCAAAAGCAGCTCTATCTCCTCCTTGAGGACAAGGATTTGAAGGAGGAGCTCATTGGCTCCTTCTGCAACTACCTGTCAGATGCAGATTCAAAAGGCAAGAGCAGGGACGGGAAGATAGGGTGGGGGACAGCCCAAAACTACGTTTCAGCAGATCGGAATTATTCCCTTAACAACCCTCAACTACACCCACTCTTGTCCAAGGACAAACTGAAGGAATGCTTTGGCGACACGTCCTACCTGTCCAAGAGCCGTATCTCCATGAGGAAGGCTATCAGTAACAGAAGTAAAGAGCATGGAATCCCACTGGTCCAGCCCAAAGCCGGGGCCTTGAGATCAGACTGGATTGCCATAGCCGCCATTTGTGTGTTCTGTGGATCAGAGGACCTTGCCGAGTTTTGGGCACTATGTGTAGGTTTGATCCACATGGCATCTAGAGGTAAGAACGAATGTACAGGAGCCTTCATTTCATCCATTGGCTCACTTTATTTGAAACACTATACTCTCTTCCATCTACTATATAGGCAACAAAATGGGGTACTATTTCTTCTTGTTTGTTCCAACAAGCTTTGTTTCACACTTGTCACATACCACAATGAAACAGATTTCCTTAGGCATCCATGTCTGTTCCAAGATATACTTTCGTGATGTTGTAGTCATGGCATCATTAGTGTCCACCACATCAGCTGTTGTTGTGTTCTCATTTTGTGTTGGAGTCTCAATTTCAGTTGTGTCTTCCTTTTGTTTTGGTGGAGTCTCAATTTCAGTAGTAGCAACATCAGCTGTGGTTGTGTCGTCCTTTTGTTTTGGTAGAGTCTCATCGACAGGAGTTGTTATGTTGTCGTTTTGTGTTGAAGTCTCAATACTAGTGGTGGCAACATCAGCTCTGGCTGTGTTGTCATTTTGTGTTGGAGTCTCAATTTCAGTAGTGGCAACATCAGCTGTGGTCGTGTTGTCCTTTTGTTTTGGTAGAGTCTCATCTACAGGAGTCTCACCTACAGGAGTCAGAGCTTGCATAGCCTTGAGGACGTGGTGGAAATCAAAGGGAAGACAATGCCTGGACTCGTTTGAACCATTTTCTGGTCTGGGCTTCTTCGACTCCTTTTCTTCTTCAGTGTTTGAAAGAGCTTTTTCTTTTTCCATGTTTGAAAGAGCTCGCTTTCGAGTTGCATCACGTTCATTTTTTCTGTCCTCTCTAGTCACAGGATCTTTTCCAATTTTTTTCCCTCCATTTTGTTCCAGCAATGCCTTGGATCTTGAAAAAACGTCCTTGCCCCTACTACTGTTAAAATTCATCTGGCAGTTTTCCACAGTTGTGAAAACTTCACCATTTGCTGGTGGTTTGTTGGACATGACGATGGAATGAAACGTCAACGAATGCTGCAGTCACAATGAGTTGTGCTGAATTAGTGCTGAACTTATAACGAGTCATTATTTAAAACAGTACTATTATAGTGTTGGACCATCATATTTGAGCCATAAAGAGTCGTTATAGGTTAGATTCAATAACAAGTCATTATAGGTTAGTTTCTGTAACAACTCGTTATTAGTATTATCAAATTGCTGCAGTACTAAACCTACACAAAATACTATAACGACTGTTAGACAATTCAAAACAAAAGAATTCCTATTACACCAAAACATTCCAGCTTCTGCCTAGTACAAGTTGTTGCACCAATAAGAGCATGCAGTTAGTTATCCTATTTAGGACCATATGCACAGGACCAGTTCAAATGGTTCCTTGAATAATCTGCCACATGTCGAATACTCTTCAAGCTGCAATTCATCAGATGAAGACAAGGGCGAAGTGCCAGGGCAGCACAGTAGTCAGGCAGGAACATATATGCGAAGGGTTCACTGTTGGGAAAATTGCTGGGACACTCCATTTCATTTACCTTGATACGGGAGTAGTAAGCCAAAGTTTCAACAACATGGCTGGTGTTTCCATCTTTGTGCACTGCTGTTGCTTGGTGGTTCTTCATTGCTCCAGTGGTCCCAGCAACAATAAGAAGAGATGCTCCAAGGATTGAATGCCCTTGAATGGAGACGAATTTCTCCATCATGTCATGGAACCACCCTTTCTGCTTGCAACCATCCCTTCTTTTGGACTGCCACTTGATGGCTCTTCTTAAAGTCTTCTTCCAAGTCTGCAAGGCTGACCTGTATCGCTTCTGGCTCACATACTTATAAGCCACACAAATAGACCTGATCCGACAAATCATCTCTGACAGAATCACATCCTGTTGGGAGCGATCACCATTGATCTCCTGTTCCCTTTGATTCTTATTCATTCGTCTCATGTCCATTTTTGGGTAGACACCATTGAAGCACACTGGTCGACCATGGCTGCCATGGTAAATCACACCTCCACCAGGACTTTGAACCAGGGGGAAAATGACACACCCCTTTTTAGTGCACTTTGATAGCTGGCTACTTTCCACACCTGGGAGAGTGTACCCCGATGCAGCCCCAGCTCTGGGTCCTTTCATTTGCATAACAATATGCTCTGTTTCCGACTTGGAAAATGCATGGAGGCTGAAGGGGGGGGCTGTTGCATGGGACAATAGAAGGATGAAGTCCTCTTCTTCTTTTCTTTTACTGTCAAGTGCTGATTCAAACAGGACTAGGATTTCTGTACCATCTTGTTCGTTCTCCAGATTAAGAACACGACCGTGATTACTTGCCCTCTTATCAGGCCAATGGCAATCCAGGAAAGCCAAAGGGGACAATGATGCACCATCTAAAGTTTCAATCCGTTGTTAGTTGTTGAAGCCAATTCAATTTATCAAGAATGATATCTTTTGCTTACCAATTGGATCTTCGGGATTTGCACATACTGGTAGCCTATATGTGACAAGTGTCATTGGTTTGCATAGCTCTATTTGCTCAGTGCACGTTGGACCAATGGTGTGAATCGGAACATTGAGCTCCTCAAGCATTGCTTCCATGTCGACAGTTTCGCGTGCTTGGCACTTGAGGTCCTCTTCTATTTTTGTCTTCGCTAGACGCTTGTTCAAATAACCATCAGCCTTTTCCTTCTTGCACATTGTCACATGGATTGAAATGCAGTTGATACATGCGTAGGATGGCGCATTGATCTTCATCTTCAAGAGGGCTCGTTTAGTCAATTGATCTGACGGGAACTGTTGGCCACAATGATGACACACTAAGCCGGGGCCATCAAACTGATCAGAGCCTTTCACTATTGGAGGACTGGTGTGAATCAGATCTGGCCGAGCCACTTTACCCGAGCACTTCCCCTGCGTGCGTAGATCATCTATTGCAACGGCAATATCGCATTGGGCGTCAATGCCTCTACCTTTCAGGAACTTAGTCCTCTGCCAAAGCCACCACCTTCCAAAACGTTTCATTGCACTCACTTCAGATAGAAAATGGAGTTGCATGTCGAGGAATAAGCCCAGGTCAAGCTTGCGTAGTTCTGGTCTCGTCACCAACAATTTTAATGGCAATAGATACATCCAGTTGTTGGCGTTGGCCAATTTCAACAGCCTACGTTCCAGATCAGCAGTCGTGTTACATGGTGGATTGTTTTGGCGATTCGTACTGGTGTGGCGGCCATATCTCTGGTGGTGAGGAAACTGGGCCCGTGCAGATGCTGAGGGAGGGCGCTGTCCTGACTGCTGCATGTTGTCTTGGGTTCTTGTGAGGATGTTGGGATGCTGGATGTGCATCCATCGGTTGGTCGGACTTCGGTCGGTCGGAAGGAATTTTGTGGTTTCGTTAAATACGGGTCCAAAGATGGAGGGAGGTTGTTAAGTAGGGATCCAAAGATGAGGCGGATCGTTATGTAGGGATCCCAAAATGAGGTAGGCTGTTAAGTAGAGATCCGAGGAGGAGGTGGGTTGCTAAGTACGAATGCCAAAAAGAGGGAGGTTGTTAAGTGAATTCTGATGCTGTTCCTCTCGGCTCGGAGAGGGGGGAAGCGGAATGAGGACGGCGCGCGCGCCGCGATGACCCGTCTTCGGGGAAGCGGAGAATAACGCGCTGGCGGTTCGGAGGTAGGAAGGACGGACCGAGAGGGACAGGGAGGCTCGGGCGGATTCCTGTCCCGCCGCGCCGAGTTACAGAACAATAACGGAAAAGTTGAATTGACGCGCTGTTTCAAAAGCATTCGCACAGCCGTGAAAAAACGCCGGCCGCTCCAGGTTTTTCCCGAAATTCCCACGGCGGGTCCAGGAACGTGGAATTTCTAAGCATGTTTCGAGATTCTGCTGATGGGAGCGTCGTCTTTTCGATCTTTCGTGTGTTATTGCTGAAATAGATCATCATATCGCCAGTATCATATATGACTCAGCGCTGTCTCGTCTTCAAAGGAGTAATAGCTCTCTTGCTCATATCAAAAGATGTAGTAAACGGTTTCACCATTGGCAGCAGCAGTCAAAATAAGCAGCATCATCATCATCATCATCATCAGCGTTATTGTTGGACGTCGCGGCGTGGTTTGAGAATAATCTCATCCGATGATTCACTTTTTTCACGTTTCTCCAAATGCAAAAACGGCAAAGGCAATGTTGTCATGCAACGGCACATGGCAGCTCCTCAGAATGCTAAGAATGAGGATGATAGCAATGCCAAAGACGGCCTCGGTAAGCTACAAAATGATGACTCAAACAAGAACTACAAAGGCAACAGGAAACCAATCCAACGCACTGATCCAAAGGATGACGATGACACGGGAGGCACTAAAAGCAGTCGGAACAGCCAAGAGACAACCGACATTGTACCACCAGATGATGAAAAAACACTTGGAGACTACATGGCAAATGAAGACGAATGGTTCAAGGATGATGTAACTGATATTGAGAAGAAGACCTCTAAATCTCAATTAATTGAGGCTTTGAAAGTAGACGAAGATTATTTCAAACCGACTCAAATGCGTCTTACGATCGACTTGGCTCATTTCTTGAAGACAGGGGAAAGTAGACCGTCCATCTCTAAGACCGCAGCAGCTGCATCACAGCGTGTGACAGACATTGACTACGACATCAGAGATAGCAAGATGGTGTACAAACGAGACTTGAAGGCATTCGCGGCTCGGCTGGACAAACTCTTTGAGTGGAAGAATATCCATTCAAAAGAGTATATGGCTCCTTACTTTCCACTAATACAATCCAGTGGAACCGGCAAGACCAAGTTGATGCACGAATATAAAAACTTAATGACGATGGACAAAGCAGACGTCCATGTGGAACTCATTCTTTGTACGGATGGAAATGAGGCCAAAATTGCATCAGCCGAAAGCATATTTTCCCAGATTTTGGATATAAGGGAAATCCAATCGGATCAAAATGGTCTAACGAAGCTTTGGAATCGATTAAACAGGTTTGCCGATACAGAAAAGAAGAAGGTTGTATTGCTCTTTGATGAATCCCAGCACCTGACGAGCAACAGTGATGGGTGGCATTTCCGATCGGTACGATGGTGGCTCCGATGGCCGAACAAACCAGGCAATGTAAACGTGGTTTGCGTGTTCGCCGGGACCACTACCAGATTGGCAAACTACTATGCGGAACCAAAACCATCAACTACTTCCCGGGATGCAAACGTCGTGTACCTTGGTGGTGATAAGCTGTATCCTCCCTTTTATCAACTTACGACGACAGGTCTTGTGTCACGCACTGATGGATACAAATTTGGAACAGTAGGTGGTACTCATAAAACCCCTTTGCAAAAAAGAAACGAGGAGACAATTACAGAACTTGATGTTGCCATCCAATATGGACGGCCCTTATTCGGACGATTGTATCTGAAAGGACAGTTGAAGACTTCACTTGGCAATATCTTGCTGCGAATGAGGGGTGCGGACCAGGAGCTGTCACTGCAGAAGTATTATTCGCTTTTGGCAACGCGACTGCAAATGGGTCAAGTGTCGTTTGATTTTGCATCAGAACTAGTGGCTTCCGGATACGCACATCTGACTCACTTTTCGCCAGACCAAACCGCAGTAGCCGGGATTGCATTTCTTCCTGATCCGGTTTGCGCATGGCTTGCAATGACCCAGATGATTGAGGGCTGTAATCGATTTGGGATTGATGATGGGATTCCCACAGAGTGCAGTGAACCTGCTTCGGTTTGGTCGGAGAAGGCCATCAAAATATTCTCCTCTGCATTGTGTCGTCCTGCAAAGGGAGATGTTGGCGAGGTTGCAGCTGCCTTTTATATGCTGGCTTGCGGAGATGAGTTGAGGTTTGAGCAATCGACAGATCTCACTCAGCTTTCTGTTCCATTAGAGAAATGGATTGCAAGATTGCAACATGCTGATTTGAACACTACCCTCAACCTTGGGGAAGCAAAGGCAAGTGTCAACTTCATCCAAGTTTGTCAGAACTACCTACGCTATAGTTTGAAAGAAATGCAGGATAGTGGGCTTCTCAAGCATTGGTACCTTGGTGGAAGAGGATCGTACATGTATTTTGCATGTGCAGCGTACGACATAATGGTACCAGTGCAATACACTGTGAATGGGACGCTGCATTACTGTCCCATGTTGGTGAGCGTGAAAAACAAAGCGGAATTTTGGCCGTATGAACGTAAAGCTGCAATCAAGGCAATGCAAAAATTGTTTACTGACGCAGGCATTCAGACTGGAGTATGTCTACTGTTGCTCATTGGCCTCGACAACACATCGGAAAAAAAAACTAGAAAAAAAACAAAATCAGGAAATAGTTTCGGTCATGGCCAAATTTTTACCGTAACAGTTGTGGTACCGAAGGAGGATCGCTTTGGAGCAACCAATCTTGCTTTGTGCTCAACTTGTGGTGGTGGGCAGGAGTCGGAAGTCATGGTGTCGCATGCAGAGCTTGCACTTGGGGCGGATCATAGTTTTGACTGCTTGCTCCGAAAAAAGAATGAAGATGATGGCCTATCCCAATTGCTGTTTGAAGAGATAAGGGAAGGATATGCCAACATTTCAATTGATGAAGATGATTTTGGAGGAGCAACGGCTCCCGATGAAAGTAGAGGGAGTACATAGTTGAAATAATGGAGAGAATCATGGTCCTGTAGAGTTGTAGGAAAAGCTGAGTTGTGGAAAGATCTATCAACTAGGGGAGAAATGATTATTATGTTGCAAGTGCCAACAAGAGGAATTAAATAGTTTTTTGATTGTTACCCACCGACACTCTGCGTCTGCTCCTCATCCGTCACTCTGGGGGATATTCCAGCCGAGTGGAGCTACAAGTAAATCGCCGGCACACCTCGCGCCAGCGGTCATAGATCCTTCACCCCTTTCGTCCTTGTTGACAGGACGACTCCGACCAACCAACTGACTCGCAACATGCCTTGCCTGCCTCCAATATTGTGCCAAACTCGGAAAATCAGCCCTACCAGAAATTAAGCAAGTAGAAGGCAGCTTCCTTGCCGCTGTCAGTGACTTCACCCTGTTGTCACCTTGTACAACACTACCATGTCATCTGAATATTCTTCAACTATTCACCTCACACAAGAGGAACTACAACAGGATGTCCAAATATCAGTTTCTGACGCTCAAGAATGGACAGCTGAGATTCCCTTTATAGGTCTCTGTGACTATGATGACAATGAATCAGTTGACCTCTTCTTGTTTATTACAAATGGGCCCAAATTTACACAAGCACAATTCAATCCAGATCACTGGCCACCTACAAATGCAGGTAGAAAGAAGTTGCTTTTCACTTGCAGCAACTTGCTCTTGAGTATGGTACCGATTTCAATGTAGATAGCTACAATGGCACACTAAGATGTGCTCGCAACCGCAAGTATGCCAATAAAGAAAAAAATAAGGATGAATATGATGCGCAAGGTGTTTGTTTTGGCCCTTGCCATAAGTCGCACCATCATGATCGCAAAAGAAATCGTGTAAATGGACAAACCAAACCCCGAGCTACCCAAACAGCCAAGGACACTACTGGAAACTGTCTATGCAACTGTCGCCTATCTTTGAAATTCTCTAGGAATGAAGAGTTCATCTACCTTGCATGTAAGGGAGAGAAGATCCACAAATACCACCCCAAAGCCCCCGGTCCATTGCCTTTGAAGGCAAACAATCTAACTGACGAGCAAAAACAGCAGCTCCTGGCTCAGCAGAGGGCAGCAGTTGCCAACCCCCAATCTCGCAAAATCTTACTTGAGCTTAAGCAGGGGTACATTTCAAAATCTGCCTATCGAACTGTAATGATAACTGCACCGGACTACATAGCCGCAAAAGCTGTTGCTGGTGCAAACTCCTCTGCCGCTGAGTTTATAGGCTGGTTGAGAGCTCAAGCCGCAAATCCTGAAACAAATCTGTCGTATATGGTACTCTCCTATGCCCTGACGTCTAAGAATTGTTGTGTTGTTAGAAGGTATATCCAAAATCCAAAGGGTTGGAGGTCCAACAGCAATCCTCCCTCTAATCCCGAGACTGTCATGAACAACCTGACATACAGGGATGAACTTCTACTACCGATTGAAATCCAGGAACCCTTGGCAAGCTCTCGCAAATCAACCCCTACTCCTCCCATTGGTAAGGGTGGACTAGTAGCAAAAAACAACCTTTGCCAAGCTGCTATAGATCGTGTTGCACTACCAATGTGGCAGGACTATTGTGCATCTGTTGGTGTTGAAGACCATTTGCAAAATACCAAAGCCACCCGAGAGAAAAAAAGAAGCAATTTTTTGTCGTGCAGCAAATGAAGTTGACAACCAAACCATTAGGAACAGTTTGGCCTACACCTCTGGCGATGGCAAAGAATCTTGCGATGAGGATACAGGTAGTAGCCATATGGATTGTAATGCAGCTCAGGGAAAGGTCGGAATTGCTGATAAACTATGTGCCAAGCCTGCCCCCATTGTTCCCAAAGGCTTATACTCTATTGCAAATGTATCCATTGCAAACCAGACCAATGACAATTTTGCACAATCTGTGGAAGTTGAATCAACTCTCAAGGGGGTCGCACCAATGGTTGAGCTTGTTGAGCAAGCAGAAACGCATCTCCTTGCATCTAGTGACACAATTATGTCACCCACTAAAGTTATGCTTGGAGGTGCATGGATGACAGAAGCAGAGAAACGTCACTTTTTCCGCTTCCCTGAGGTTTTGTTCATTGACGCTACACACAAGTCAAACAACAAAGGCCGGCCTCTTCTCCTTGTCTGTGGTATGAGCACGCTTTTGGCTCAATGTCACTGAGGACGCAGTGTCGTGTACCAGCCATCTTTCGAACTCAGTCATCACGCCTATGGTAGCATCAATGTGTCTCTGGTTTATAGCAAGACGCATAATATCTTTTGCTTTTTGCAGAATGGCATTTTGCAGTTGTGAAGAGCGATGTTTGGGCTGACTCCTTAGTACGCCTTCCACGTCAAAGGCAAAGATTGGCTTGCCACTAGCGTTCTGCATACTACCATCATTTTCATATACATTATTTGGGGATTCCATGTCCTGGCTCTTGAAGGTGGCATCAAAATCGCTCTCTGAATCCATTTTCCCCAGCTCCTGCGACAGAGACAATGCTTGGACAAAATTGTTCATCATCCTTGCCTGATTGGGATACTGATGCCGCCTGTAGTTCCAGCACTCAGGAATGGGACAGTTGTAGATTGCCATCACACCGTCTAGGGTAAGCTCCAAATTTTCATGTGTAATCACACGTGGATAAGTGCTGTTTCCTTCACTGCTGTCTATCATGCCTGTAAGCAAAGGTGTTTTCACAACAATACCAAAATGTTCCATACTTTGAAGTCGCATGAACTTGGTTGTTAGATCTTTGGAACCCTTCTTGTGTGCATTAAAGCCATAGTCGCATTGCCATCAACAAGCCACATCATTGATGTCATAATTTTTTTCAATTGCCAATAAATGGCGGCAGGGGATGCCATACTGGTGACCAAATCCACAGGAACAAACCAAAACCAACTTGGAGCAGTCGTAAGAATGTACTTGAACTTCAACTCTATGTGCCTGACGGAATTGTAGACGGCCAATGAACTCGGAAGGACAACCTTGGGGTGTTGTCAACTTTGGTGACAAAGCTCGGATAGCCACAAAAGTTTTGCGCGACAACTGCACAATCATGCGATAGGCACTAGCTCATTCAAGCAATCAACGTTGTGAGTACCGGACTTGTCACTAATGTACAAGGGGGTAGACATAGCAAGTCGGTACTGCTCCTACTCCCGGTCCCTATATTTCATTTCCTTGTGACTATGCATATTTGAAGCGGCTGCTTTCAAGTTATGATGTGGCTTTGCGGCCATGGAACTATGCTTCACGGCATAGTTCATTCCTTCAGTTGCGTTGGTGCAGTACTCATGTAAACAGTGTCTGTTTTGCTTCACATAGAATGCAAACTGCTCGTCATGAAGAGTAAGGATATGATTGTTGATCCAGTAGTTCAATTTTTGTGCAGCTTCTTCTCCAAGATTGCAAAGTACTGCCTTGTTTTCCTGTAGTTCCTGCAACACAGTTGCTTTGAAAACTCAAATTGTTCTTTTGTGCCACATGAACTCCCATCAACCCATGACCGTACCCATCGCTTCATCTCCAGTATGATCGCCCGCCCATTACATTGGTTTTCCAATTCTCCATCAGAAGGACCGTGTGATTTGATGGGTTTTTTCTATTAGATGATGACCACATCTCCAACGAATGGCATTCTTAAAATAATGAAAGATTCCTTGATCAAGAGCATTGTACTTGTTGGCATTTCCATCAGTCAATATGAGATTGACTCGTTTCAGGTGTGCTACACCAAGCATGGCCGGTGAGACCTCAAGGAATACCCACCAATAGAAGGCCTTGGTCTTGTTGGGCATGAACATCTGAAGGATGACAAACGCCTTACCACCACTATCTCTACCACAGACAAGGAGAAGAGGCCGGCCTTTGTTGTTTGACTTGTGTGTAGCGTCAATGAACAAAACCTCAGGGAAGCGGAAAAAGTGACGTTTCTCTGCTTC